TTTAAAGGAACAAAACCCCTAAACTACTTCATAGCATTTCAGGTGCCTCCTGAAGAACTACAGAATCACTTCATTTCCATTAAAACACTGGATGTAGACCTGACCCCATTTGAGGGTAACAGTTTCTGTCTGTGACATGTACCTTAAGCCAACATACCCTGACAGCAAGGTATACTTCAAGACAATGAAATTAAGTTCAACTCATGAGCATTACTGTTCATTCTTTTTGCACTGGTATAGTAGTCCCACAGAAACAGTCAATATATTTTAGTTTTAATGGGGCCTTGTTAAATATTCTTTCATCCTAAAATGAATTAAACATTTCTCTGATGAGTACTTTAGTTAATTGTATTCTTGTATTTTCCTGTTCATCCTACAGGTACTTTGAAGAAACCACTGCTTTTCTTTATTCTTATTTTAGCTTTTTGTTTAATTACTTCATCTGAAATTGTTTTGCAAATCAATTTCTTCTTTCAAGTGTTGATTAAGAGCAAACACTCAGACAAGTATAAACACAAACAAGAGAAGTTTCCCATCCTGATGCCCAGAACCTTGATTTCCTTTTACTATGAGCAATTTTTTATATTTTCAGGTACTGAACACACGACTTGTTTTAATAGATGTAGAATTTGCCTTGGATTAGGATTTTTTATCAGTTTTATCAGACTCTTCATTACAATATAGAGCATGTGGAGATATGGTAATCCTTTGGAGGAACGTTATCTCCAAAGTCTAGGTTATACTTTCCAGGAATGGTGACTAACTACTAAGGCACAACCAGCCTTTAGGCCATGCAATGCTAGAACAACTCTGGAAATCATACTTTTTCTTCCCCAAAATAATTATGAAAACTGTAATTGCTGGTGAGACCAGCAAGGCTGACCAAAAGTGTTCACCATAATCCCCAAAACACTAGCAATTTCTTCCCTTTTATTATGCAGTAACAGTTTCTTCCACTGCTTTTGACATATTATTTTATGAATTACTAATTATAGTAAGTGTAGCTAAAAGAATTGCACATGTTGAACAGTACTTGTTTCAGGCCAAGAAGACTTGAAGCTCTCATTAAAATTCCCCAACTCTCTAGCCCTTAAGAATCTATAACTATTTCCTCTTTACATCCCATCCCTCAAGAGGGGTTACATTTTTTGAAACAAATGAAGGTACAGAAAATTCGAAGAATCGTCTCTCTGTGATCAGAATCATATTCAGGGAGTGTATAATCAACCATTTCCAAACACTAAGAAGAGAGGCTTTTAGCAATGAAAGGCAAAAAGCCAGGAGAATTAGCCTGTCCTATTTATTTGTCTTATATCTTGTTTTGAGTAGATGATAGCATGTAATAGCAAACATACTTCGGAGTATATATATCTGAGACACTTTAAAAAGTAGCTCAAATGTCTATCTTCGCCAATGACCTTGATCATCAAATAGTGAAATTATGTAGCTGCCAGACAGCTCTTCTGCAGCTAACAGCTCACACCTTTCATTATATTTTGTGCAACATTAGGCTCTCCATGGTGTCTGCTGGGGTGTGTGTAGAAGAAATGGGGTTGTCTGTGTGGTTTATCACTGTGGATATTTCTAGGTAAAGATGCCCTTTAGGGGTACAGAAACAAAGGCCAATAAAAGAAGTTGGTTCTGTTTTGAAGTAAATTCTGGCTTGGAGCAAGATCAGTGATTCTTTACAGCTGTCGCATGCTGTTATGGCACAGGATGATCCACTTTAAATCAATGTAAAGGAGACTGAGAAATACAAACCTTAATTCTCTTTCCAGTGTAATGAATCCATCTTAGTAAATTCCAGTCATTAAATCAAAATAAAATTAAAAAGGTTAGCATATTTGATATGCCCTTAATATAGTGAACAATATTGCATGCAATAACATATTAAAAAAAGTAATGAGAGCTTAATTCGAAAAGAAACAATGAACAGGACATGCAGAAGCCCCATCTGGATTTTCTCAAAAGCTACACAGAAATCCTGCACAAGTGGGCAGTGACAGAGTGACTGAGTATGAACTAAAACTGTTTCAATACCTGGAGACTGAAAATGTGATCAAGTTTTGCAGTTTTCTGTGCAAGAAATGATTAATAAATTAGGATTCTTCACCCTGGTACAGACAACTGAGGAAGAGACAACAAATTCCTATACAGTCATGAATAGCGTGGGAAGGGGTAATAAGGTATTGGTTTTGTTTGCTTTGTTGTTTGGGTTTGGGTTTTTTTGTTTGGTTGGGGTTTTTTTACTTTACTTTCCAGTACTAGAGGCAGGTGGCATCCAGCAAAGCTGCAAGTAACAGATTCAAAAGAACCAAAAATGGTCAGTTCTTCACACAATGTATGCGTGAGCCACAAGACTTTCATTCTCCGTTATTGTTTAAAGATGTATTTTGACCTGTTTTATAATGACTCAAGTCAGAACTTCAGCTAACAAGAATAAGTAAGAAAACGACCTCACTTCTCAGGTAAATAAAGCGCACAGCCTATCTAGCATTGTAGTACACCTTTCTGCATTTGCTATATACTTACCAGTTTCTAAGGGGCTTAATTATAAAATGATCTGTAACAGACCTTACGTTAACTTATGTAACAATTGCTCCTTAGACATCAGTCTATATCCCAAGCCTCCTTGAAGCTGTGAATCACAACAGCAAAATCTTTGTATGGTCAGGATACACAAACCAGAGACTATCATCTCCCTTGTGAGTAGTTCATAGGTGAGAGAGGCCAATGGATCCCTCAATGACCTGATAAGGGTGTATGAGGCTGGCTATCTTGCAGTATTTTCCAGAGATCTACTAATGGCAGCCCCAGTTCCAGACTCTGAACTGCTAAATACCTCTCTGTTGGAGAGGTATTTAGCAGTTTAACAGCATGTATTTGAAGTGCTTCTTGCTCAGCAGACCTTTCACGTGTTGCTGCTGGAATAGATGTATTTAAATCATTTTGGTTTCCAGTTGTGTGTGTTATGTCTACTTATAAAAGATAATGATTTATTTGCATACAAACAAAAGTACACAGGGTGTGAAACAAAAAACTTCCTCACAGTAAAGAAATGACATGCTTTCTGAATAGCTCACTAGGGTTCCGATGGTGGTGTTGCTGATGAGGTGCTGAGGCAGAAGGCAGTAGTCATCCTGTGTAGGAGCTCAGTTTTGAAGTTGCTGGCAGTAGTGATAACTTGAAAAAAAATCTTGAATATTGAGCTTTTCATTTTTTTTGTTTATGATTTCATAAAATGAAAGCTAAGAAAATTTAAAATGAAAAACTAGCTTGCAAGGTATTGCAATTCACAATACTAAAATGTAGCATCAGTTTCCAGGTTTCTTATTCCTCTGGTATGAACAATTCAGCAAATACAAGAAAATAACAAATATCATTAAATGCTGACAAACCATAAATTTGCATATTTTTCTTCTCAAAAGCAATTTTTCACTGAAAAATGCTACCTGTGTGTATTTTCCAAAGACAAAACATATTGGTGATCATCTGAGTATATGTAATCTTCACGTCTCTGGGCCTCCAGCTCCCCATGTCCTGAGCTGAATGCTGTATTTTCTTTTACATGCATAGTGCCTAGCACAATTTGATTATAATGAAATCTTTTTCCATTATGTCTCGCAGCAGTGTTGCTGCCACTGATCCTCCTTTTTTCCTCCCCACTTCAGTGTATTTTGAACACAATCATGTGACCATTGAACAAGGGGCTGTCTGTGACTGAATGTCTGGTTAGGTACATTACAACCTTGGCTCAATTCTGCTAAGAAAATTGTTGCTAAGGCATGAGAAAGTATATGAGCTAAAGTAATGTAAGATAGGGCAGGTAATCATGCTGATAGCAGAACAATTGCAACAGAAATAGCTGGCAGATCAAGAATTCCAGGAGAAAGCACAGCAACATCAAGTTGTATACAAAGCAAAGAAAAGGAATGGTAGTCAGCATTCTCAGCAACATCAAGGATCAGCCAACTACAAGACTTGACGGACACCAACACTTCTCCAGCTGTTTGACAGCTGCCTGGTCAGTGGAAACTCCTTAAGTGGTGTAGCATGTTAACGCTTAGCACATTAGTGCCAGCTATCTGTTGCAGCTGGTACCTACCGAAGGAAGTGTTTCTATTCTTGTGTGTACTCAGTGAGTCTCTTACTGAACCATATGATGCCAGAAAAAACAACCCACTGTGCAATGGTCACATTCAGAATGCCCTCAGAGATAACGGAATCTGGCTTCATTGCTGGCCAATAAGCAGCAAAGAAATCCAAGGACTGATAGATTTTTTAAATGTACCTACTGCTGACAAGTTTCCTTTGCTGTGCTTGGTTTTTCTTTGCTATGGAGAAACTCAGATTCTGCCCCATTAAAAACATAAGTGAGAAAATAAAAAAAAAGGGTATTTGGAGATTTCAAGGACCTCCAGAAATTGAGGTCCACATGGCAAAATATTTTCTATTTTTCTCTTTGAAATAAACAAGAACTAGTGATACTACTTTAAATAGAAACTTTTCTTCTCCTATTTGTTTTCCTGCTTGTTGAGTAAAACCACAAGCAAGTGAAAACTGAATGTGAGAATAAAAAATAGGACAGTGAGAAACATGAGGGGAGAAAATTCCCAAGACAGAACTGTCTATAAAGTACTTTCACAGAGCATTATTTTCATTCCTCAGTTCTGAGGAATTTGATTTCACCTCATCACAGGCCATCCATTCAATGAAGTCATTCTAATCTGTCTTTATTTTTCCTGACTGTATTTCTTATTTCACTGTTACCTTTTTTCTCTACCAACCAGTCCAGAACAAAGCAGTTGCATTAAATGAGAAAATTAATGGCTAGTCTTATTTCTCCCACCGGATGTAAGATCACTAAAATACTTTGAAAGCACACAAGAGGAAATTATGTATTTCTAATGTCTTTATTTGATAACAAAAAATGCCCAACCTTACAGGGTCTACAGAGAACCCCTCACTTCGTTGCTAGCCAGGGAAGGAACAAAGATTACCTGAGATCACAAGGCAGGGCAAAGAAGTCCAGCAGAAGATACCGTCTTGATTTGGATTAATTGATGGGATGAATCACCCCACAGAGCTGGCTCCCTCACTCCATTAAGAGTCCAGCCAGAGCTGATGACTAGCTAAGCTCAACTTGTAGACAACTGCAAAGGCAGAATGTGTTGGATTTTGCTAATCTTCTTGAAAGAAGAAATTATTTATATTAATAAATTTTGAGCCATTTCAAGATAATGGTATAGCCTTTTAGTACATTATTCAGGAAAACAGTGAATCTCACATAAAAATAAGCCACAACATGTTGAGAAGCTGCAAGAAAGAAAGAATTGCAGTCAGGGGATGTATTTTCACGTTAAACAATTTCTTTCTTTAATAATTTTATTCAGCTGGCAATATCAAGATGAATACCTGTTTTCCCTTAATGCTCTCCTCCTGAGAATACTGGCACTCTGTAGACTGACAGCCAAAATAAACCATTTCTAAGTTGAGAAGGCTTAAAGAATCTCAGAAGACAACAAGTTCCAAGAAACACCACCACTGGCTGGAAAAAAAAAATAAAGAAAAGCAAACAGCCTCAATGGCAGCCATAAAAAAACCTTGACTCACCCAGATATAAATGTCTGAAAAAAGGCATATACCAGGACTGCCATTTAGATTTTTGTTCCTTTTGTTATACTTCCCAGAAAAATGTTATTTACCCACACTTCTGAAGTGCAGTGGGTTTATTCAAAACTAGTGTATGGCTTAGGAGTAGTCTTTATACACTGCATGTACACACAGATCAGTACTATGTTAATCAGTTGGTAGACCACTGTAAATGCTAACATTTTAAATATGGCTATGGTCCAGCACACTATTTCACAGAAAGGCTTCACTATTCTTTCATTGAAGATTTTAGTATTGAACTTTTTCAATAAGCAAATCAAAACAAGATTCTTCAACTAACAAAATTTCAAGCTAAATAAGAATACCATTCACCACATCATTATCTTACTAAAAATACTGGATTCAAAACTTATCTGTCAATAATTATAACAATGTGTGAAGGGGAATAAAGAGCTTTGTTCTTCATAGTTCTTCATGCCCAAACCACAGTCCAAACTTCGGCAAACTCAAACTAGTAAGTTACAGAAGTGTACATAAACAGGTGAAGCTACAAAATTATACTTTCCTGACTCACTCTGTGTTCTTAAACTGATTGTCATTACTGGCATACAAGAGAAATAATTTAATTCTTGAACTAAGCATCAAACACCTCTGTGCTTTCCACCAGTTTCAAGGGAAAACTTGGGAGCTGCACACACTCCGATTCTTCTTCACCCCATAAAAGGATATGAGAAAGTGCTATACAGTCATTTTAGGGAGGAGGGTGCAACTCAGTGATGGAAGATGTTTATGTCAGTGCTCTGGGGCAGAGCAGGTTGAGTTCATCTTGTTTGAGATGAACTGTGAGTTCGTCTTTTTTGAGAAGACCTTTCTGTACTTCTGGACTACCTATAACACTATGAACACAGAAGTCTGCACCCAAATGCAATAACCGTTAGCTATACAAAAGCCTGTTTTGCATGCACAAGTGCAACTTCTTGTGCTGCTTTGTATTTCATGCAAAAACACAGGTCAATAATCAGACTGTTTCTTCAGTTCCTTTATGACACGCTTAAAACTTAATATAATAGTAACTTAATAGCAGAGCTAGAACCAAATATTCCAAATGTTTGCTTTTACCACTTCATCATTAGCAAAATGCTTCTACTCATAATTATTAGCTGAGGAAAAAAGCAAGAATATAAACAATACTGAGCTTGGTATGCAGGAGAACATATTCCTGGCTGAGAGGAGTATGCATCTGTACACTCCTTAAAACTGGAATCAACAATTACTTCACACACGGGAAGGAATGAAGTTGAAAATCAAAGGAGGTCACAATCTGCCATGTAGCGTGTAATTGTGGTGGCAGCCTTAATAATAAGGATAGCCTTAATACAATCAAAGGATTTTCAAAATATATTATTTTACAAACATTATGGGTTGTAAGCACTTTTTTTTCTTTAAAAGATGCAGTATTTCACTTCCTTGATCAAAGTGACTCATTAGGAAGAATTTATATTACGTATATTTTCCCCTTCAAATTGTGAAAATATGCCTTTAATTATTAATTCTTCTTGCTAAGAAGTATCTTTCATGACTACATTTGATGTTAGGATTTGTCTTTCTCTGGTTTATTTAAATGACTTTAAAGGCTCTGATATCTGAAGAGCACTCTTTTCACAAATTGCAATATGTCAGCTTAGAAAATCAACTCCTGTTCCACACTGAATGGCCAACAGTTCTGAACAAGGGGAGTTCCTGGAAAAAAGACCTGCTGCACATTGATAGCATGAGTTGAAAAAGAATATTTTAGGTCTTTTTAGTCATCATTTGAATTTTAAAATTGTATTTTAGAAATTGTTTTCCACCTTGTACTTCATTCCCTCCCTTTGTCCTGAGTAAGTGAGAAAGATCAAAGTCAGATTTGCTGGCTCACTAGCACATGTTATGTTCCATTTTCCTCTGTCACATTCACATAAGTAACAGCAGATGTTGCTAGAACATTCATGAGTTTAGTTCTGAAGTGTGCAGCCAGACATTTGTCAGGCTAATTTGATTTCCTGAGGACTGCAAGGAGAGCTCTGGTGGATAGTTCTCCATCTGCAACACTGAGCCACTCTTGCCAAATTCACTTGAAGCCTCCAGTGAAGATGTTCTCCTTTGGATTTTTGCTTAAGGCTGCTTTTTATTAGTTTTCTTCAAGAAGGTTTTCTTTTTTTTTCTCTCTTTCTGTGTTAACACTGCTATTGAGATGGGGAGAAACAGGCTTTAGCATTTACCAAATGCCTACGAAACCCGGCAGGGAAGAAGCGTATAGATTGCAGTGAAAGAATTTTGTATTCTTGGCCAGCTGTAGAAACATTAGAATTTAAATACATACATGTCAGATGCAAACTTTCTTTTAGGACTAACTGCCTGCAAACTATTTTGCAAGAGACTTCTGAAAATGGCAAGTCACTATCTGTGCATTTGTATATAAAAGAACAAAACACATTTTGCAAAATACCTTAGAAAACCTTCATTCTTCAAACAGACATTATTATGTTTTACTCCTATATTTGAAGTTCTAAATAAAATGAAATTCAAATATGGTCTTGTTGCTGAATATTGCCTTTGAATAGAATATCAAAAGTGAAGAAAGGTTTCCTAATGCTTTCTACATGACTGAAATTAAATTTGTGCACACAGGAGGAATTAGGAAGTGATTTTCTGCAGCCATAAGGAGAATTAAAAAAAATAAAATAAAAAAAAAAGAGAGAAACATTATAGTAATGCGTTAAAGCCATTTTTCAAACTTACTTTCTAAAGGGATTGTATCTAAATGTTAAACTTTATCTGCGTGATGCGTTAGTTGTATCTGTGAATCAGACAAGCTGTGGTTTTGTATGAACGACACGGAGATCAGAACACTGTGGAACAAAGCCCGAATTTGGCAATGCTTTAAGCGTTTCCTCTCCTAACCTTTTTTCCTCTCAAACTTTGTTGACGTGCACAAACGAGGAATCCCCTGCTCAGGGCGGGTGTCATCGCGCCAGCGACTCGGGTTTGCCCAGCCCCTGCTCTATTCCCAACCCGGCAGCTCACGGCGCGGCCCCGCCGCCACAGCGGCGGGTGGGAGGGGACAGGCGGGGTGGGAGCTCCCCCTGCTGCTCCCAGGCTGCAGGCGAGGCCCTGCGCGCCCGCCCGCCCGCCGGCAGGGTGCTGCTTTGCACGGGCAGAAGGGAACTGAAGGTTGCGTTGGTTTCGTGTGCCTTATAGAATTTCCAGCTACAATACTGAAAAGTGAAAATAAACTCTTTCCATTCAGTTCCAGCTTCTCTATTCTGATAGAGCCTGGGGGGACTGGAGAGGGGAAGAGAGTGGAAAGTATGTGCGTGAACTTAATACATAAATTGATGAGTTATGCCCCATTTAGAAGAAAACCACTGCCTCTCTATATAGGGAAGTTTCTTTTAACATTACTTTTAGAAGTGTAGAGACTTTGACCATGCCACCATCATCAGTGTGGCTCAACTATTAGCACCTAAGTAACTTCATTGTCCTCCAACAGGCACAGGAAACTTCAAAGAGCCTCTCTTCCCTTTCTTCATGTACAGAGCTACAGAGGTCACATAAATGTAATGCAGCTGAAATGTTCATAGGAATCCAGCTTTCTCTGAGCATGTGTCTTGTTTTTACAGGTCAAATTCTTAGGAAATTATTGTATCTTAATATTCATTCTAAAATGTAAAACTCAGGTCTGAAGCTAAAATTAATTTATTTCAAAATAAATAACTAAACCATTTCATAAGGTGAAAATCTTAGGCCTGATTTTCTCTTGTTTCTATTAAATGGATGAGGAAGCATGGCTGTTGTATATAACAAAAAGGTAAGTAATCTTCACAAATATCTCAAAGGGTCATTTATCTCAACCAGCAAACTCGGGAAATGAGCTATTTAGCATAGTTTAGTGACTCAGTTTTCATTTCAAGGTTGAATAATGGCTTAAAAAAGAAAAACAAAAGAAGCTTTGAAATTTTCCCTAACCTTCAGCTCACTAAACATGAAAACTAACTGCTGAATTCTGGGGAAGTGACCTATTTCTCAACACTTTAGAAAGCTTAAAATTGTGTGCAAATGACATTGACAGAAAACACGAGCCATGTTTTCTAAGCTTTCTTTACACAATATGATGAAAACCAAGCAGAATGTAAGCTCTATCACAGGGAAAACACTTAAAGAATAAATTCCCAAGGTGAAAAGCACTTCTTCTAAACTTTTTATTTATTTCCTCTTTTATAACATCTTCACAAACTGGATAATGAAGAACTGGATTATGAAGAACACAGTCAAAATATGCCCATTTGATGGAGGGTTCAGTTACAGCTACGAAATAAATTAGGAAGTTTTTCTGATCTTCTACAAATGTAGCCTGTTACTAGCAGAGACAGGCTGACAGTCTTGTACAATTCCTTGTGTTTGGAACAGGAAAGATCTCAAAACAGAAAGATCTCTTTGCAGAGGCTAGGGGAGTTCAAGTTTTATTAATACCAAGCAAGTAAACCTAGCAGTAGACATACAGAAAAAAAAAAAAA